AATTCACAGCAGTAACTTCACTAACGGTTGTCATGGACGTGCTGTCTGCAGCTCCGAACGGAGTGGAATTTTGCATTTCTCGCACAATGCAGAAATGACGAATAGGACCTATCCTCTTGAGATGTAAGTTTGATTCTTATGATCTCGGTACTTGTGAAATCAAACCATAACTAAATCTGCAGCGCTTAATGCGAAGTGCTTAAATCGTCGAACACATAATTGCCGGAGCCGGCTAAGAATTTACCGTGATTTTGGAGACCAATTGTTTAACGATCTTTAAATTGCCTATCAATTAACAAATAGATGCATTTACAGGTGAAATGGTTTTTTTGACGCTTAGTTCTCCGGCCAGTACACAGTTTGTGTGTACTGGTACGCAAAGCATATTTTAAAGACTAGCATGCAAACAGGTCTTTGTGCATGCACATTTCAGAAGCACGGCAATCTTCAGTGCTTAGTTATTTCATACTGAGCGTCTTGAAAACAGTGATGAATCAGAAATATAATCTTCGTAAAACAACCGTTGCAAACTTACTTCTATGGATTAAAGTAAAGGGTTGCACTGTCCTGCTTAAACGGGGTTTATACATGTTTATTGGTTTACTGCAGCGGTACGATTTACATCTGCGAGCATCAAACTGCTTTGCTTTGTATTACCATAGACTGTTATAGACTTGAGTCTCCTACTTAAACGATATTTTCTGAGATCAAGATTGATTGCTGGAAAAAAGGTGCAGATATCCATTATCAAAATAATGTCGAGTTTTCCTTGGAATATATTGTTATTTAGTATATACTAAAACAGTGGATAGCGTTGAAGGCGCGCTCTGATTGGCTAGTCAAACTCCGAATATCCTTTGCTATTTACCTCTGAGCAACTCAGGAAAAAATGGCGTCCCGGTTTGCATCCATGACAAGCAAAGAAATCACTCAAATTAACGACGGTGGTGTATATTATCTCACTGTTTTACTATAATACTAAAACAACTATTCACTTCAGGGTCGGTGGTTAGCAGTGGATATTTAACTTGCCGCTTCGCGGCTCGGTAAATATCCATCACTAACCACCTCCACTTCGGTGAATAGTTGTTAATTAGCTACAACCACATCCTTTAGTGACACTACTGTAAACTGTACATATTTACTCCACCAAAACCCTGAATGCTAAACAAGTTCCCATGAAGTTGCAGCAGTTTTATATCAACAAAAATGTTGTTATTATCATTTGATAATAGATTAGAGAGAATCAAAGCACAATTGTATCTTACTTTACTTTGTATTTCAAGCCGGGTGCAGCAAAAGTCTGAACTGTCAAAAGATGGCAAAACAGAGAAGCTATGTTTTTCAACCTGAGGGAAGTAAAGAGGTAAGGATAACACATGTTTATCAAGTGATGACCTACAAGATTTCAAGGGAGAAGTGACAAAGAAAGAGCCACAGAAGAAATTAAGTATGCTGTAAAAATTTTATGATAGTGTCCCACAATGGTCTCGAATAAAATATAGGGGCATTAAATGTCAGTTCTTCCTAGCTAAAAGGGGATTCCTTACATCCGTCACTTTATTTTTGAGAAATGATATTTTAAACATTAAATGTCATTAAGTACAGTGCATGTAACATATCAACCCATTAACTCCTGTGAGTGACCAGGGTAGAATTTCTCCTTACAAGATCAATGCAAGATCAATGCAAGATCAATGCAAGATCAATGCAAGATCAATGCAAGATCAATGCAAGATCAATGCAAGATCAATGCAAGATCAATGCAAGATCAATGCAAGATCAATGCAAGATCAATGCAAGATCAATGCAAGATCAATGCAAGATCAATGCAAGATCAATGCAAGATCAATGCAAGATCACTGCAAGATCAATGCAAGATCAATGCAAGATCAATGCAAGATCAATGCAAGATCAATGCAAGATCAATGCAAGATCAATGCAAGATCAATNGTAGAACACTTAACTTTTCACCTAAAGTACAAACATTCTGGTGCACTTGCTAACTGTAAAATTAATCTTCCCATTTATAAACCCCTACTAACCAGAATTTTCTTACCACCAAAATCCCAAAAAATTAATGTGTGACCCCATTCTAGTAAGTTAAACACTATTGAAAATGCAACACATTTGCCTATTTAAGTCAGTCCAGTAGTGCTAAATGTAACTCCAGCCAGGGGCACATCCCCATCAGCAATTTACTAACAAGTAACCACCCCCGCTGTGGAGGCGCGGTGGCCTCATGGTTAGTGCACTCAACTCCGGATCAAGTGGTCCGGGTTCGAGCCCTGGCTGGGACATTGTGTTGTGTTCTTAGACAAAACAGTCACGTTACTTTCACAGTGCCTCTCTTCACCCAGATGTATAAATGGGTACTGGAAATTTAATGCTGGGGGTAACCCTGCGATGGACTAGCATCCCATCCAGGGGGGAGTAGAAATACTCCTAGTCGCTTCATGCTACAGAAACTGGAGTTAAGCACCAGCCTAATGGGCCACTAGGCTCGTAAACAGACTTTACATTTTACAACCACCCCCGCTAAGTCCAGTCCCTAACCAGTCAAGTGAGTTGTATTTTGTGCAAGGCACTTCACTCCTCACTTCCTTGTGATTCAATCTTTGCTACCCCATGCAGTGCATAAAAATTAATATGATCATTTTAAAAGTCTGAGGTTGGCTCCAAGCTATTTCAACAAACTGCACTAAGAAAATACAACAAATTAAGAGTTTAAAGTACCTGCACTATGTATTGATCTTGAGGCATATCTAGTGGTACAACATGGAGCTGAGGAATTGTTTTACATCTTTCATAAACCACACAGTAGTTCTGAAAGATATCCATGTCATCTAGGAAATTCTGACAAAATCAAATTAAACAAATGCAAGTTAGGATCACAAACAAATTGATAAGCTGTCAATGTTTAATTTAGAAAACCAACTTAAGGCTCTAACTAACCTCTGCTTTGTCTTCAATAAATGTTTGCCAATTTTCCCTTCCTGGATTGCTCATTGGTACAGTCATCACCTAAATTAGAACATTGCTGATGACTTAGAATACAGTTTTGTTATGCAATGGCCAAACTTTGTTTCAATAACCAGCCCATGGTGACCTTACAGTTGGTGCATTAGACTCCCAGTCAAGGGGTCCAGGTTTAACATTTTAATTACAATGCTCCTAATTAAGGCTTTTAATTAAATTACTGTTAAGGCTTGGAATGCATTACCTGATAAGCTAAGATAATGATAATGACCTGAATGCTAAACAAGTTCCCATGAAGTTGCAGNACATAATTTTATTGCCGTAAAAAACAGAGTCCACAACATTTTGATCACTGTGATGACGAATATGGCTGTTGATAAGAGAACAGACCATGCTAAACCACTGTTGATTTGTTAACACTACTAAATGGAACATGCCAGAGGCCAGGAGAAGGCTGAGGGACAAACACTATACCACTATATTCTTATGGAAATTTACAACAAAGTTATTAATTAAAGCTTATAAGTATGCTCTTGCAAATAACCACAACCATTACTTGAACATCCTACATGGAACTTAAGAGCTGGGGGACCATTTTACCCAACCATGTAGACAGTGTCTCACTGCCAATTATTATTGATAGGTGCTTGTTAGACACTGGAAACAGTGTTGGCAGTTCATTAAGAGAAGGACATGGGACACATTTGGTCTACCGGTACTTGAAAGACATGCCCACCTCAGTCTACAAAACTACAAAATTGATGTCTGACACTTTTTCACGAGGCTGGGTGCTAAGATTGATGCATTAATGGAGGTTTATCTGTTTCAATTTAACCCATTAACCCCCAGAAGTGATGAACATGTAACTTCTCCCTATAATATCCATACATTATTCAACAAACAGGTAATGAGAATACTTAAACTTATCAGGAAGTTGTTATCCTGATCTACATGTAGCACCAAATTCTCATAACTAATTTACAGGGAAATGATTAGCAGCCAGAGGGGAGAATTAACAATCAGATCTTGGAAGTTAAAGAGTTAATCATCAATGACTTGGATAACAGACTTACCTCAGATGTGGACCTTGAGTTGCAGTTGATTGTTATAAATTCCCTGTCTTTAGTTGCACTTACATCAACAATAAATCTAAAGAAAAGATTAGTTCTTCACCACTGCAATTGATTAGGGAATATCAAAACATACAATGCATCACACTTCTCAGACTCTTTTCGACTGTACAGTTCAACAAAAAAATAGTGGTGCACTTTCCTCACAATAGAGGAGTGCAGGCATAAAAAGACACTCCTGAGATATTAGAATAGTGGGTTATCTCCCAAAAATGTTTTCAACCGAGAGAATACAGTAGAACCCCGATGACTCAAACTTTCACGGGGAATTGAATTTACTTTGAGTTATTGCATGGGGTTTTCGAGTTATACGGGTTTTGAACAAAAAGACTACAAGTAGTGACAAACAGATCGATTCTAGTTTAGGCACCATCATAATTTATTTTTGCTGGGAAGAACTGTCAAAAATGTTTGTTTATGGACATACAAACACGTGATTTTGACAAAGGTCAATTTGTCATAATATATAAATGAGATTAAATGTAATCTTTTGGTACAAAAATTTAATGTTATGGCTCATTAGTCCACAAAAGTGAAAATTGACTTGAATTTATCAAGGGTAAAATTACAAAGAAAAGTACCTGAAGGGAAGAAAAATAATATCGCTTCAAGTTAGCAAGGTTTTGAGTTATTGGGGTTTCAAGTTATACAGGTTAAAATTACAGTAAAATATATAATTATAAGGAAAATCCAAGGGAAATCAGTTTTGCTTCGAGGTAGTGGGGAATTCAAGTTACAGCAGGTTCAAGTTATCGGGGTTCAACTGTACTATCATATATAAAACTGCCCAATAAAAAATTAACCAACCTTTCATCTTTCTCTTCATGCAGAACAACATCTGACAGAACACTCTGACAGGTTTTGTGCATTAACGCAGCAAATGGTCGATTTTGTTCATCTGGTCTAGTGTAGTATAAGGTGAGGTCATCACATCCCCATTCTAAAATTGAAAGGAGATATTCATACTATCATTGTCAAAAACCTCCCCTTTTAATATGTAACTTGTTCTGAGGTGCAAGCACATTGCAAAGGGAAACTGGTAGCCAACAGCCAAGGTCATTTCCAAATTATCTTTGGCCTCTTTTTCAAAATGAGGCCTGGTACTTATAACCATTCTTGTGAAAATGAGTTTAATTTACATTTGAATGAAAACTTAAGGATGATGNGCAATAGAACACTTTGATTGGTTGATTTTAGTTATTGGCCCTCTGACTGCCCGAGTCGTGTAATAATCACACTTACCAAATTCTCACCAGTAAACTAATTTACATATATAAGAGAATGTTTTGCAGCTAGAGGGGAGAATTAACAATCAGATCTTGGGAGTAAAGGATTGAAAAAATTTATTTATAAACACAAACGAGGAAATAACCAATCAAAAGAAAAATACAAATTTATTTTTGTCTATCTTTAATGTTTAACCCTTTTATTAACTCCCACGAGTGATTAACCTGTAACTTCTCCCTACAATTTCCACACAATCATTATCAACCAAACAAGTAATGAGAATACTCAAACTCATCAGGTACAAGTTGTTACCTTGATTGAACACCAAATTCTCGTAACCAATTTACAAGGAAATGTGTAGCAGCTAGAGAGGAGAATTCATAATCAGATCTTGGGAGTTACAGGGTTAATATAAAGATCAGTGTGCTTACCCTTCCTGAGGGAGACATCTTAATTCTTGGTATAGAAACGTATGCATATCTTTCTCTCAATTCATTCTGGTCTAGAATTGTTTCTGGGTCGCCATAAGAACCATCTATCAGATAACAAAACAGTCATTTATGAACAAAGCAAATGGTTGGAATATGGAAAAAAGGCAATAAATTATTAATAAATAATAAAAACACTGTGACAAACTACAGTATAATTATAACTCCATAACTCCAACCATGTACAGTGTATGCCACTTTCAAAGCAAGTCCCTACAAGTCATTTCAACATTGCAATCATTACACAAAATACTGCTTTATTCCCCCCCTTCCTCCCTCCCATCCCCCATTCACTGTTTACAGAGAGATTCAGCTCTGTGTTTACATGAAATGTCAATGGCAAGAGTGACCACGTCACCTTGTTTTTCCTGCCATTTTTTCACATTTCCAGGTTGCACTTTGCAGTTTCTACTTGAAAGTAACCTGTTCTGTGTTTGCCATGTACATAAGTCAGATTTTCTTCACTTTTTCTCTCACAGAGTAGAAGTTAATTGCACCAAAAAGGATACCAAAACTATTCCTTGTAAGCAGGGCTCAAAATTAACAGTAACCTGTTAACCAATGGTTAGTAATTTTCAACCTTTGGTTACTAAAAATGTGTCCAACTAACCCGACATGGTTAGTGAAATTTTCTAACATATTTAAACATTGGTAAACCTCAGCACGTAGACCTGCCTCTCAGAGGAATACTTAGAATACTCAAGTTGTTTAATCAACTTAAACTTTTTTTAGAGAATGTGCTGTAGATGTACTGTTCTTGACTAATCATGGTAAATGAGAGGGAAATAAAATAGGTGCATAATTGTCAATGTTTTTAAGGTCACCATGCAATTTCAGCTACTCTTTCATTTGTCCTAGTTGTTATTATCAATCGAAAATGTTTAATATTTGAGATATCATCACTCGTGAGCTTGGATACCAAACTTGATAATTTGGTTAGTAATAGAGATGTCTACAAACCCGAAGGGATAGTGATCCAAAAACTAAATTCGAGCCC